CAAAGTAATTCGTTCTTCAGGACTGGCTGTTTTTGCAAGTTTCTCAAATACTAAAAAGCCAAACAGACATGTATAGTCATATTTTTATTCTGGATCTTAGGGAAGAATCGCAACTTCATTATAAATTGAAGGAACACTCACAAACACGGCRATAGAGTGCACTTTGAAATACTGCAAAATTGAAGTATGTAAGCTATATGAAAAGGCATATTAAAACTCTGATGCCAAAAATACCTYCACAGAATGTCAGAACTCTCTTCAAAGAGAATTATTAATGCTGTCCATGCTCTTTGCCCCTTTGCTTTCGTACTCCTTTGCCCATCCTTCTCTTCTCTTGTCACAGGCTCTGAAATGACTTTTTTATTTCCTTTTTTAACCCCCTSCTCTGATCTTCTTTTAAACCCCAATTACCCTACTCTCATTTTTCCTCTCAGTTCTTTTTTTCTCAAAATACAAGCATGAACCATGGGCCTCCTGGAATGAAGTCCTTAGCCTCTTTCCATGAATTGTCAGGTTTCCAAATGCTTCATTCTTTTGAAATGAAATCCATCACTGGATGAATTTCTACAAAAAAAAAGATGTTGAAGCAGGGGCTGGAATGCAGCACTTCCAATGCCCATGTGAGTGCTTGCACAGCTGGAGGGTTCTTCCAGCACTCGTATATATTGTCCTACACCATTCCTCACCTCACTGTGCCACAGGCACAGCAGGACAGCTGGCTGGAACTGTCCCCTCAGCCTGCTCCAGCACAGGCTGCACAAGAGCCCATCTGGAGCCTGCAGGTTATATTCAACATCACCTGGTTTGTGAATCTGGGTAAGGTGCTTGGGGGAGAAAGGTACCAAATCTCTCCCCTTCAACAACGCCATAAATTGGTGCAATCCTGGTGACATAGGAACATGGCTGGTGAATCTAAAGCTCATCAAGCACAGGGGTTGATAATGAAGACCCAGAAGCCTGCACWTTCTCATTTATTAAACTGACCAGAGGCAGTAATGTGGTTCTGAGCCAGGTGAATGCCACTTCTCTGCTACACTGAGGAAAGTGAATTCCTTTTAGCTAATCTTCAGTCGCCTCCTGGGTCAACAGTGCTGGAATTCAATTTTGCCCCACAGCCCTCTTATGAATCTGAATAGGCAACTACTCAACGATGTAGACACACTAGGGAATGAAACATGACATTTTCCCCTTCCTTCTTGTCAGCTCTACTAATCTTATTTACTTGTAACATGGCAATTACTATACTTCTCCAGTTAAATGTCCACTTCGTCCACTGCCATTTCAGTAAAAAGTGCCTTAGAAAAAAACATAAGGAAAATCCCACAGCAGAATGAGAGAGATCAGGGGCGGGGTGGGAAATATTCATTACCCTTTCCACTTAAAGGTACAAATGTTGATAACATTATACTGCATCRTACTTACATTAACTGTAGACATTCTTGTTATCCAATCAAAGACTTTCCAAATACTGTTAAAGATTTCTGCATTCAAGGATATCTTATAGACATTATCTGCAGAATCCAATCACTTATGTATATTTTTCCTGTTAGAAATTAACATTCCTGCTATGTCTAATTATCTTTTTAAAGACTAAGATGTCTATAGTATTTTCCAGCATACCCTTGACTTCTTTAAAAGCAGAAATCTTAATATGCATTCTCTCTTCATAAAGTAATTGTTGCAAGCTATTCCATGTTTATGAAGCTTCTATGTGCTTTTATTTTTTTTCTACTCCATGCATTTTGAGACAGAACACTGGGCTCCCTTGTAGTCACCCAGCAAGGTCACACCATTATTGGCTGCAATGGCATTAACACATTAATTCTGATCCAGTTTCCTGCAGTGCAGCAAAGCAAAATCAGTTCTAGGGATTAAAACATTAGTTTTCTGTGTTGGTAGCATTTTATGCCTATTTGTGAYTGGCTCTGTAGATATTCAGCATTGACCCTTTGCAAAACTTGAAACTGCACAGATGTAAGACAGCAAGATATAAGTTCCACTCACTTTATGGTCAGAAAAAAAAAAAATGAAAAGCTCCTCTAACTTCCTTGTTTGTACAGCATGAGCCAACAGTTGCCTATGGACTTTTCAGTCTAATCCTCACCATGTGAATGAATCCATTACAGCATGATCCTGTTGCAAAACACCCCATCTTTAGCTATAAACTCCCAGGTGAAGATGATTCCACGGCAATACTTCTATCTCATATTCAGTTTGAACTTAGACCACATCAAATTGCAGAGCTTTTATCTTGTAACACTTCTGCCTGCTGCTTTAAGAATCTTTGTAATTATCATTCTTCACGCTTAACTTCTTTTTCATGCAGTTTTTGATCTGGGGCTTAGATGCACCAGTCATTGCAACCAGCCTAATTTGAAACAAGGAATTATGAGAGTGAAGACACAGGGGTTCTGGGAAGGCTCAGCTACAGCAAGATACCCATGGCCTTGAGCAGTTGGGTCTTGATTATCTCCAGATGAATACTTCCCAACTCCTCTGAGCATCTCTACCACCATTTGATTGTGTTCACAGTACAAAAAGGTTTTTTCTGATGTTTAAATGAAAATTCTGTTTTTTCAGCTTGTGTCTCCTTCCCCTTCACTGCACATCATTGAGAAGCATCTGGCTCCATCCTCCTTTCTCTCTTCCATCATATGTTGAATACACATGAATAACATTGTCCCTTGCCTGATGTCATCCTCTCTGAAGGCTAAATAATCATCAGCCTCTACTTCTATCMTAAAGGCTGTGATCTTTTTCAGCATCTTTGTGCATTTGTCTGGCCTTTCTTTAGTACACCTATTTCCCTCTTGCTCTGGGGAGCCCAAACTTGGAYACAACATCCCAGGTATGCTCTCACCCAGGCTGAGCAGAAAGGAGGGATCCCCTCCATTGGCACAGAGTGCTGTTGGCTCATGTTCCACSACAATTTCCACTGCCTTTGCTGAAAAGCTGCTTTCCAGCCAAACAGCCCTCGTGTTGTTTGGGTATRTGCTTGGGATTTATTTCTCCTCAAGGGCAGGACTTAGTATTTCACTTTTCCTAGCTTCAGGAGATTCTTGTTGGCCCAGACCCAGGTCCTTCCACACTGAGAACAGCACTAGAGAGTGGCTACCACAATCCCCTGAGCCTGTCAGTTCAGCCCGGTTTGAAACACTTCAGTGGCCGCCTGCCCAGTCACTATTTTATCAGTTTGACTATGAGGATGAAATGGGAGACAGTGTTAAATCTTTGCTTAAGTCAAGAAAAATAACTGTCTACCCTCTTCTACCAGCCCAGACATCTCACCAAAGAAAGCTAAAAATCAGGTTGGTCAGGCAGGATTTCTCTTTCATAAATCAAGATGACTGCTTCTAATCACATTCTTGCTCTTAATACGTTTGGAAATTGTTCCCCAGAGGATTTACTGCAGCATTCTCCGTGGGCTGAGGTGGAGGTGACAAGGAGGAATTTCCCCAAATTCTTTTCTCATGTCTCCTGAACACAGCTGTGACATTTTCTTTCTTCCAGTCCTCAAAAACTGCTCCCCAATCAACATCATCTTCCAAAAGTAACTGAGAGTGGCCTTGTAATGACATGGACCTGTTCCCTTAATCCTCAGGCAAGCAACCTGTCACGCTGGCTGAACTTGATGTGTTCAGCTAGTTTAAAGGTCTGGAATTTCTGAAGGCAAGTTTTACMAATAAAGACCAAGGTGAAGAAGGCAGAGCACCTTAGCCTTCTCCATCTACTTTACCACCTGAAAAATTAAATGTATTATCTGCAAGTAGCATCCCAATCTGCAGCCTTGGTTTGTAAATGCATGCCAGGGACCACCTTCTTCAGAGTCTGAGCAGCCACATCGCCCTCCATCAGAAGTTAGGGCTTTACTTCACACCAACAGACCTGCAGAACAGCTCCATKCTCTTGAGAGGAGTCAATTCCAAAATGCAGCTTACCACAAAATCTGGCTGGGCTGTGCGTACAAACTGATTRCCTCTTCTCAGACAACCTGACACTTTTGGATTTATGATCCCAAGCCTGTCCTCTCAGGGCAGGGAGCTCCTTTGGCTTTGTCTGTATACAAATGTATGTATGCTGCTTGGCAAGTAACACAAATTTTGTATTCTCTGGAGTAATCTGAGAATCTCTCTCCCCCTTGCCAAACAGCAGTCGCTTTCTCTCCTCATGYCGAGGTGGTATTTTCACATTGTCACTGAGTGTTAAATTTTACTTATATTTGCTTAAATTAACTATATTTAAGGTTAACCTTTTTTTAAGTGGCTTATTTAATTTGTTTGAACAGATTTGGTTTATTTTGGGTTGCTAAAAACTAATTAAGTTTCTGTTATCTCCAGAGTGCAATCTCCCATGAGTTCTCTCTGTTAATACTCCTGCTTCATGTCTCTCTCTGCTTGAGTGTTACTTGGAACAGTAGGAAAGGAGAAATTTCAGATGAAACTGTGCTTGGGATGAGAAGGGTTTGATGGATTGKTTTTTTTTTTCTTGAAGAAGGAATWTATCCTTTGAAAKTATAAACATATCAATGAAGGMGAAAAATACATTGGATAGAATGTTAAAATATATTTTGATATATTTGAAATCCAGATAAATATATTTTGAATTCGTTTTTTCCTTACTTTTTTTAAAGTTTCCGTTCTCATAATCATTTTCATTCAACCTATTCTATAAAATTATTCAGAAATCATCTCAAGTAGTGCACATGACAAGCAGAGCTCACTTTTCAGAGTTTTATGCTTGAAAGTCAAAAAGGAGCTCTTGGTTTGCCTTTCAGTATTTTGAGATACAAAATAAATAACTGCAAAAGGATTTCTTAAGGCTTTTCAACCTTTCAGCTCATCACACTGCGAACAAACCCAGATGCAGCCACACAGAACAGACGGTTTCAGTTCACTCAAAATCAAAAGAAAGAAGATTCAAAAACATCAACATCAGTCACCAGCGTCAATCAGGCCAGCACATCTCGACTAGAAGGATTGCAGTCAGAGAACCACCGCTTGAGAATGAAAATTACAGAGGTATTGTTTACTGCATACACTGCCTAAACACTTTATTTTTCATTATTTTTTGTTGCGATTCTGAAATCTGCTTAAATGCTGACTAGCTTTTAAAGAAAAAAGTAAACTTTCCCCATAGAAATAATAGGAAAGAGAGAATTTTTAGGGATTGTTAACTAGTACAGCAAATATGTAGCAGGTGTGATAAWATGAAAAGGTGCCTTAGCAAAATGGAATTAAACCTGCCCTATTTATTTGTGACAGGCCAATTACCCCGCTGTTTCACATGGACGTGCTGAGCTCCACAGATCCAGGAGTTTAACCTTTACAAGCAGGCRTAGCAGAGATCTGCAGCCCCAGGAGCACTGAAGGGCTGTCTTTGTTCCTGTTTATGGTTGAGTTCAGAAACTGCTGGTGCTGTTATTTCTCAGCTCTCTGAGAGTTTGCTCAAAAACTTGTTAGACAGATTTTTTACATCTTCCATGAAACAGAATTATGTATCTTCTTAAAGGTAGAAAAAGCTTTTATAAACAAGGTGAGCTGACCCCTTTGGCACAAAGGCAGTGAAGTTTCTTCAGTACCTACTGAGGAAAGACTGAGTACMTGGAATAAATGAATTCCATCAGAGCTTTGGCATGTACATTGATAATTGTGTCCATCCTTGCTCAGCAGATCTGAAATTATGACAAACCAGTCTGAAGACTGTCCAATTTTTGGAACAAGATAACCATAACTGATCATATCTTAAAGAAATTACCYGTTCTTGCCCAGTCTTAAATTATACTTTATAATAATTATTTTTATGCCTCGAAAGAAAAGTATTTTATTGTAACAGTTATTCCTTTGCCCTTAAATAATGATCGATTACCTAGGTAACTAAAAGGTGTGTACTCAGACTACCAGAGTCCAAAAGCAAAAGTTATCTCTGCCTTGTTAAAGACATTTAGTTCAGCTTTGCCAGATCCCTTTCATGTGAGAGCCTTGAAATTTTTAATGAAGGCCTGGCTGCCTGCTGGCTGTGTGTGTTCCTTTACTCTGCTGTAGTTCTTTTCCACTAACTCACAAGATCTCAGCCTGTGCCTCACAAGGCTCATGGTCAGTGCACGTAAGGCTGGTCAGAGCAGCCACATTAGTGCTCACAGGGCCCTGCCTGCTTCTTTTGGACTTTGTTTAAAGAGATTRAATTCCCAGAACYRGTGGGTCCAAAYCAGTGTCATTGTCCAGGGGATTTGKAATATGCCCCACCATGGCTAGAGCTGCATCTCTGGCTCATCTGGTTTGAGTTGCTGTGCCCCAGTTCTATAAGGAAGCAAAACAAAGCTAAATTCAGCACTTTTAAAATTCTGTTAAGCTGGTAATGAGTGGGACATAATGTGGACACCACATCCTGCACGACTGTTCACAAAGAGCATTAGGAAGCTGGTATCTTGTAATTTTCTATTGGGGCTGTAGACAAYTGAGTACAAGTTAGCATCTGAGGACAGCATCCTGCTCAGTGCTAAAAGCAAAGCATTCCTGGTAGAGTTGACTGCAGCCACTCACATGACTGGACATGCCATAGATCCCTGATATTCTCCTGTGCGTTCAATAACATGATGGATGAAGTGCTAATAATTATGAATTACACAATTTTACACAAAAATAGCTGAGGGATTTTCCGGATGGGTTTCTAATGCTTGTATCTTTCCCGTTTGTCAGTACACCATTGCTTCCACTGTCAGCTGCTAAAGCTTGTTCCKCTCACATGCCCTGTGTGTAGCATCACAGTTGAACACAATTTGTTTCTTGTAGCATTATTTTTAGAGTGTAGTAGTGTAGCAGTGCTATGAGGAGACTGTCAYAGTGTAGTAATTGCATCACCACCTGCCTTCCAGTCTAATTATAGAAAGCTACGCCTCAGTGCAGATACCWGAAGCAAGGACTCTTGAATTTTGAAGGATCATTTTGTTTTGCAGCTGGACAAAGACTTGGAAGAGGTCACAATGCAACTTCAGGAYACTCCTGAGAAAACAACATACATTAAGCAGAACCACTATCARGACCTTAATGACATTCTTAGTATACGGAACTTCACAGACAGCAAAGGTGAGTGCTCGTAAAATCCATTAGTAGCTTAACCTGCCAAAACTTTGAATAGCAATCTCATTGAATTGGTTTCAGAGCACTCAGACCTTGGTAAGACACAGCTTTAAATATTTTGGTTGAGTTCCAGAGAGTATGCAGTTTCGCATAATAAGCTGTATGGTACCCACTGTGTAGTGTATGTCTTCTATTGTAATGCACATGGTGAAGTGGGAAATTTTTAGAAGTGTACATGTGTTCAGAAGTCAAGTTTTTTGTGCTGCATGGAGGGAGGAAAGTCACAGAATTTCAAGCCCAGCTTGCCTGACCAGGATGCTGAAATCCTGCTTTTGGACACTGCTATCAAGCACGTAAGAAAGAAGTATGTAAATATTTCAGTGCTGATTTAGATTCTAAATGCAGAATTGAAGGCACTCATGTATGAGAATTCTTCCCTAGGAACTGATAAAAAAGGATTTCATGACAGCTGTAATATTCCTAAGTTGTTTCTCCTGTGTCTCTTGCATAGCTCCCTGAAGAAATACATGAGAGAGAATTGCTTCCATTAGAGCCATTTTGCTTTTTGGGAAGCAATAAAATCTGGTTCATAGTGCAATAAAAGTGGAAGCCAGGATACCCACCTTCCATTTCTGACTCTAGAACAGATCTACTTTGTGACTTCTGGCAAATGGCTCTGTGAAAATTGCTGTAGTATGTGGAAAACCGGTTGCTCTGTGTTCTGAAGTTGTAGATTTTCGTGTTTGTTGCACAGCAAGGCTAAGGCTTTCTATTGATGTGGCACCATAAGCTTGGTTGAGTGGGACAGGAGCCACTCCTGTGAATATATTTGAGGAATAATTTTAGAACAATGGCAACAGTTCACATATGTTTTTGAAGTATATTGAAATTTTGGTTGGTTAAGGTTACTTTTTCTTGCACCGTTTGTTTTAGCATGGGTACACACTGGGTTGTATAACTTGTGGCAAAAAGAAAAAAAGGGAGAGCTCCCAGTGTCCTTTTCAAAAGCAAGAAAAAAAAACCAGAAAAGGGGAAAGGAGGAAAAGGAAAACGTAAATAGCTGCTGGAGGCGTGTGATTATTGGGCTGAGATCAGGAGCAAGAACTAACATCAGTGAGTGGGATGAGGCAGTTTTACCAAGGGTTTGAAAGAAACACATAGAATGTTCCTCTCATGTCAGATGCTCCAGGAAAAATGATAAATCATGAATAATATTTCAAGCAGAAAAGATACATTGCATTGTGCCAAATGCCCATCTGAGTTTGGGTATGAGAAACAAAAAGTGATTCTCAAGAGATACACTGGGTATAAATTTAGGATGGATGCTTCCCACAGCAAGATGCACTCCATTAGCAGTAGGAGGCTGGCAAAGAAATCAAGGATAAAATATAACCTTTCTGCACTTACTTGAGGCTATGTCTACAAAAGACATTGATGCCTAACTGCTGCCTTAAGCAGCAGCATTCAAGAATGTCTGTGTTCCTAATTTTCCCACCAGCACAGCTCCCATTTTACTTTTCTGCTGTGGGGTATGTATTTAAAATCACCTGTAAGGATGCAGCCTTGATGTCCAGAGGGACTTGGAACTATGTATTACTGGGATTTACAGGGTAGATATTCTTCTGCAGCTGAAGCTGCTGGACACAATTTTCTCAATGGACCTGCCACATTAAGCTCCACACAAAAGGTGGGACAGGTGGAGAAGGATGTTTTCCCTTGGCTAATTTTATACAGAAGGGTTAGGGCGTCCATTGTCCTGGGAATGAGGAACACCTGGATCCCAGCTGGCAGCAGGTGTTTGAAGCTTGGTCCCTCATCTGGTGGCAAATACTCCACGAATACATATTACAGTGTATCCTGATTCCTGTGTCATTCTTGTATGACACAAGTGACATTAAATATTCATACTTCCAGCCTCTGAGCCACCGTGAGCAGCAACCCTTGCTAGTCTTTTTCTGTCCCTCCAATTCCATTTCTTCTGCCTCTTCTTCTTCCACATTTCCCTGTTCCTTAWCTTCATGTCTGAATCTCCTGCCTCTTTCTCTCACCACATCCACTCCCAACAGTCAACCTATGTGCTTAATATAAATTTGCCATTCCAGTCAAAATAACAAGGCTTTGGAGAATTCATGCTGCTGAGTCACTGCTGCTTCTGTGCAGATTCAAACAGACATCGCTTAAATGGTACTTAAAAAAATTCTGGCCCTTACGGCTACAGGAAAGCTAACTCTAAATGACACGACTCTGCTTTCTGTAGCTATGCATTTCATGTAACTTTCTGTAAAGGAAAGTACAGAACCTTGAAATTATGCATCCCTRTGGTACTTGAGTGAAGCTCTGGAATTGTAAATAATCTATTAGCATGACCTACAAGTGACCACGTCTTTCATCCCCACTGTGCAACCAGGTAAGCCAGTCCAGTGTTGGTTTTAAGATAATGATGAGGTTTGTTCCTTTCTTGATCTTGTGAAAAATGTGAGCTGGGAGAGCGGGAATAGGAAAATGAAGAGAGAAGCTCAAAATAGCAGCTGACTTGGAGCTAAAATTCGTAGTAGATAATTTGTCCCATTGGTTTTGTGATGCAGTTCTGTGACAATTGTTTTTATTAAATATCTTGCTGTTCTGCAGGAGCTCGCACAGAGGATGCCATGTAATGTAACCCCATTGCTATTGCTGACACAAACTCAGGGCGCTGCTCTCCACAGAACAGATCATAATGTGGGATTTAGGCAATGCATTTTGAACAAGCCCTAATCAAACTTTAATGTCATAGCACACTTCAGCRGGCTTCTGATCTGTAAAAATTGCCCAGAGTTAAAAATCCTAACTTCTGCAGCCAAGCGCCAAAGGAGGATATTTGATTCATCTCCTCCTTCCCCACCACCCTCATTTACATCAAACATATGGATTTAGGATACATAAGTTAAATTACTTTAGCTCAAATAGGTAGATACAGCTGTGAACTCCTATATCTGCCTGACCTCAGGCAGTATTTCATAACTTTAGGATTCCTGGTTAGTTAATAACAGCAACAACTCCTGGTGTATCCCAGGAGCTCTTTGCTGGCACAGGGACTCCTTCTTTACAGCACATTTCAGTGCATCTCATTTAAAGAGAGATATTATCTGAGGCACTCGTCTCTTGTTCGCAAATGCATAATGTSCCTGAGACATCTACAGCAATTGGCCATGTAAGAAAAGCAATTAGGAAAATGTGATTTGTGCTTTATGGCTTGACTGCTTTCTTTTAATGCAGACATTTTAGCTGCACTGCTGCACAGCTTTGTGTGGTCAGGCAGCCCTGAGGATGCTCCAAGGACTGGGGCTCTGGGGCTTCGAACGGCTCCCCCCGCTGAATTTAAAAGGGCATCCCCCAACTTCATTTGATGCACTCCTCCCTGCGCCTGCTAGTGACCTAAGCTCTGTGCACAGGGCAACATTAATTTCTTCCCGGGCATTTGTGGGATCTGGTGGCCTTGCTGGAGTGGCAGGGCCACATCATAGCCTGGCTTTGGGGCAGGGATGGGCTGTGGGATGGATTGGCTCAGCCATCCCTGTGCCTGACAGAGCCTTTCAGAGAGAAGGGTCAGGCTTGGAGGCACAGCTGCATTTCCCAGGCTGACATTTCATAAAAAGGAGGACAAGTTCCTCAGCAGTGATGCTGTGTAAAGAGGATGGTTGTGCCACACAGTTCCAGGGAAGAAATACCTGTAAAATGGTCACAAACCAGAGCTTCCCAAAAGGGCTTTTTGCACCCCAAAAGGGCTTTTTGCACCCCTGTCAGTGTGTCAGAAACAGGAGAGTTCATGAAGGTGGAAGTTATTTCTGCTGTGCAAGTTCTTGCAGAGATGAAAACTACTGAATAGACAAATACAGAGAAAAGATACTGTGTGGGTTGGAGGGGGGGCTGGATAATTTTGCTACACTTGGAATCTTACTATCTTTCTCTACTTGACTTCTTTTTGATGTTTTAATACATGAAATTATTGCCATGTGAAATAATTCACAGARCCACAGATAGCAAGAGTTTCATGTAAAGCAAAGCTCAGATGAAATCCTGCAGAAGAATCTCCATCTATTTCTACCTTGGCCAGGTAGAGTAGCATATTAGGGAAATTAGGAAATGATGCCACGCCACTCAATGAGAAGCACAGAATCCCCTCTTATGCACAAACTCCTTTTTGCAGTTTCTCTCTCTGCAGGCGCCTGTCCTTGCTCAGAAAACCTTGTCTGTTTTAAGCCAGAAAGCAGCCTTTACTCATTGCTGCAAATGGGCTGGGAGCATTCATTTACATGTCAGATATGCCTACATACTGTCACTTGTCACCCCACTCCGATGTTTCCTGGTGTTAGTTTTTCCCCATATAAAAGCAGCTCAAAGAAAAACAGATTTCAAAGGCATGTTGTTCACAAATGTGAAGGGAAACAGAGTTCATCTGTGATAGATGGAGGAAATATTATTTCTGTGAAGTTCCTGCGGTTCAAGCATTAGGCTCGAGATTGAAAAATAGATTCAAAGGTAAAGGCTTTCAGAAATGATTCCTTTAATGGGGTGCTGTTTTGAAGCAAGAATATAGTTCCTTTCTTTATAGAGATATATAGAGATATGTATGCTAGTTTCTGTGAAACCTAACAAATGKATTCAATCCTGAAATTGGAGCTTGCTTCTGTTTCAAAAGGGAGACCAACCTGTCAGAGGTTCAGTACCTACCCTTTCTTTCACAGAAATGAATCTTTAGTAAAGGGAATTTCTTCTGATTTAAAGTAGTAYGAATCAGAGCAGAATCTTGCTGGCTTTTTAAAAAATCTTCCTCTCAAAACATAACTATCAGAAGTTGTGATTTAGATTGCTAGTGCAGTGTGCTTACTTCAGGAGAACTTTTTTTTTTATTACCCAGCAGACAATGTGATAATTTTAATTATTCCTTTCAGTTTACTTTCTTTATACCCTATTCACATGAGAAACAGAGGCTGGCTAGTCATATTTCACAGTCCAAACAACAGAACTGGGAAAACTGACAGCACGTTTTAAAAATCTACCTCTAGTTTTAAAGTTTCCAGATCTCTTTATTAAATCACCAAAGTTACAGCTGCCAGCTCTTATAAGTCCTTATTAAACCACACTTGCTTCTTTGTGGAGCATAAAATATGCTTTCTAGCAAAGAGAAACAACAGTAGAATTGAAAGATATTGGATGAAGAGCATTTCTGCCACCCAGTTCTAAGCCATCGGAGGAATATTGTCACTAAAGCATAATGATGAAGCAGTTCAATAAAGCTGCAGCGTACAAACAGCAACAAAACAAGCTTCTAGTTAAAGAAATATGTTTTCTAAACTCTTGGACGAAATTGAAGCAGCATCAGTCACCTGGTGCTTCCCGCCTGCAGCTGAATGAGCGTTGTTAAAATGCACAGYGCATTTCAGCCTGCCCAGGTAATTTTGGCAGCAGCAGGTTGCAGAGTGATTATAACTCACCCCTGGCAGAGGGAGAGGAGAGCAGCAGAGAGCAGTGACCTCCTGGCTGAGCCCCTCAGCAGCCTGCATTGGGTGTGCTCTGGCAGCTCAGAGCTTTGTAAATGGAAGCTGTTTCTTCGCTAAAGGTGGGCAGAGGTCCTGAGCTAAAGCCTTGTGGCTCTCACAGACCACTGGCAGCGAGCTTTGTTTTATAATGAGCTCATTKCTGAGCACTCTGAGGCCCTTGAGATATATTTGTCTTTTCTCCCGACAGTTTTCTGAATGGAAAGTGCTCAGGCATCACTTATGCAGACTTCTGAGTTCCGGTTTGAGGTCTACAAAGGTGAAAATTATTTAGAAGATGCTTCTGGCTAATGTAATTTCCATTTAGAAGGTAGTTACATCATCCCAGTGCAACTTACTGGGTAGAATCYGCAGTGGAAAACAGTACCCTGAGAATGAAGGGTGTTTTCCAAGTGGCACACTTAATGGACAGAGGAAAAGAAGATGGGAAAGTATCAAAAATACTGCTACACTTTCAGGGGCAACTGAGAAATCAGATGTTTACCACTACCCTTAATTTCTTTTCTTTCAGTTGTTCACRTATATAAAACTAGTTTTCTCCACTSTTAAGTTTTWTAAGTGCATATGGAAATAGTGTTTTTTTCTTTAAGCTGCAGCTCCCAGAGGCATATGACTAAGTGAGAATCTTGTTCTTCATTATTTAAATGAAAGGTAAATAAAAAATAAAGATATTCTAGTTTCCATAGCTGCAAAATAAAAATCTAACAACTCCTCTCCCAGAATGCTTAACAAATAAGAATTACTCAACTTTTTTTTGTTGTTGTTTTGAAAGATGCAAAGGGAAAAGAAAAAAAAAAGTGACAATTTTATGTACATTTTGTCTATATTTTATAGTCGTACAGTAAAACTTGCATTTGGTAGCTTTGTATACAGAAATTTATTCAGTGTATTAAGGGCAAGTCATCTGCAAGAGCAGTAGAAAAGAGTCTATTATGAATAACACACAGTGATATATATGGGCCGTTGGTGTTGAGAGGTGAGTAGGAAGAGAATATATGATTTGTGCTCTACTCTGAACTAAATCCCCCACCTTTTTGACAAGGACCACCTCCTTCTCTCTCTTTCTCACAGCACATCTGAAAGTACATGAAACTCCTTTAGTGTGCACAACACAGATTATTATATTAAATAACATACTCCCAAACAGTAACGGTTGCGTTTGCCAATCATTTGGCAAAGAATTTTATCTTCAGTGGCTTTGTAAAATGTTAAATTGCTTGTCTTGGCCAAAGGAGTTGGAGCCCTAACACAATTACATCAGAGAGCTTTTCCRTTCCTAATTACAAGGGTTACTCAAAATTTTGCTTTGGTCTATATCAAAAAGTCAGCAGTTTCCAATGTCAGCTTAGATCAGCTCAGGACTGAATGTTGGTTTTAATCACGGAAGTAAAAAGTGTTTTTTTCTACATGCCTGTTTATAGACATCACAAGACTTTTATGCAAATGTCAAACTTGATATACAAAGAAATGCAGYGTAGAGAAAATAAAAACTGAACTCTTGTGACAGCAAATGCCACACCAGCAAACTTCACACTGCCCTGAGTTGCTAGACCTCATTGCTTATCTTAGCCACTGTCAGATTTGACTCTTTGCTGTACTCCCTTCCCTTCTAAACCATCACTGAATTCTGTCATCTCTTCATTTCAAACACTCTTCTTGCTACAACTGAATTCCTTAGCTGTCTCCTACTGACATTTTCTGGCCCCAGCTGAGCAGCTTCATGTGTCTGGTCACCTCCTTTTTCAGCCAGACCCTTCTCTTCAATGCAGCASAAGTGAAAATTCTCGTCTCCTGTTCTGAGCTGTAGTAATCCCCACGTGTGCACRTTGTTCCCTCCTCACCTGTACACTTGCTCGTTGCTTGCTTGTTAGGTTTTTACAGCCAGAAATGAGTGCTACCAGATAATGCCAGGGATGACCTTGCTGGGAGAGCAATTACAGATGTTGGAGTTTGCCTTCAAAACGTGCTTCCAACTTCTTTTCTCACTTCATGTTTCTGCTGCTTGTTCTGTCCCTGCAGTGCCTGTTGATAACACATTTATTCCCAGCGTGCTGAGAGCTGAGCAGTGTTTGGGGCTTCTGAAYACAAGCACAACAGAAAAGCAGCTTAAGCCTTCAAAATGTACTGGCTTTTTCATGACACCTTCCTTTTCTCTTCACTCTTTTCCCACTTTCCCCCCCTCATACCCATTTTTATGTTCAAATCCTCCAGTACCCTCCTCAAGAATTTACCTTAGACTCCTCTTCCATGCTGCCTCAGTGCCTGCGGCAATCACTGCTTCTCTGTTTGTGTGGCAAACAACTGCTGGTGATGGATTTGGAGCTGCTCTGTAATTATTTATGAAAACTGTGAACTGCCCTCATTATTCAGATGCTTTCTGTGTGATTTTATTTGGCTTAACACAGAAAGAGACTTTGAAAAAGCAGGAATAGAAAGGATYTTCTTAAAATGGCTGTGCTCACCTGTGTTTTCCTGGGGGGAATSATGCCATGGGCTTCAGCACAGAGAGCCAGGGACTCCCAGGACACCCAGGGGAATCAAGAATTAYGATCTACTTTGTTATCACTGTGCAGAAAAGAAAAATCTGAATGACATCATTAGCTGTCCTTGCTGCAGACAGCCTATGGACCAGTGYGGCTGATATGAATCACATTTCCATGCTAAAAATGATAACAGTAGCAGATAGGCAAATGACAGCACTTAATTGCCTGTGTGGTTGTAAGAGTATCAAGGGTTTATAATTCAATGAGATGATAGTTTTTCCAGGAAAAGTCTTAAGAAAAAGGGTTTATGGAAAGGTTACAATTTGTAACTRCAAAAACAGTGAAGTTACATTAATTTTTCACAAAGCCTAAGACTGGATGAGAGAGCATGATACAGCTACAAAGATGTGGATTACAGATGTGGAGGTTCTTTAAAGGTGGGCAGAAGCAAAGGAAGGAAGGACAAAGAGATTTTGTTACTTTTCTGTTTCTTCATGGTATGGAACATGTCATCCAAAACGTAAGAGTACCAAACTCTCACAAGAAAATTGAGCCTGTATTAAAATATAGATAGTATGAGTTTACTTTGTGGCATTATGGGTATCTGGGAAAATTTAAAATGGAGCAATTTTTAAATGGTCACTTRGTCACAGTAAAGTAAAATTGAATGTGTTGTCCATCCAGATGGTGAGAAAGCCATTTTGAAAAATCATCTTGATCAAAATCCACCAGCACAGTGGGGCTCATCAGACCCTTCCAGAACAAGCAAAGATCCCATAGAAGACATCAACTCTCCAGAACAGTAAGTATACATCATTACCTTGCTGACAAGATGCTAATTTAAATTATTGCATTTCATCAAAGCCCATATTTCCCTTCCAYGCATTTTTTATGGAAAGACCCTCACTGTAACTCTCTTTCAGCCAGCCCCATCTACAGAGAGCTGAAACATCAGCACCAGGGACTGTGAATGGTACCTGCTGAAGCACCATTAGGCAGCAATGCTGTACTGTGATGCCTCCCTGCCACCAGATCCCCACCCCAATGAAACTTAAAGGATATCAGGGGCTTTAGATACTAAAGTGCCCCAAAGACAAACCAAAGTGCCCCAAAGGCAAACCAAAGTGCTTCTTTTCTCGTTGGAAACATCCATAGCACGATTCTAAAGTTTCTGTGGAGAGTTACAGGATGAGCTGTGCCCAGCCACCAGTGCATGGAGGAGAGAAGGGGACGTGCACATGTGCAGAAATGTCTTGTGACTCTTGTCAAAAGTCCCAGTCCTTCCACACACCAGCCAGAGCGGTTCATGGTGTACATAGACATTTTGTTCTTTTACATTCTTAAGCTAGCTGAGAAATAAAAAATGTCCTGAGGGCTTTTCAACGTTGCCATAGCAGCTGGACCTGAGTTTTGGCATAGGAAAGCCTGCTTTAAGTAGTTTCCCTTAGAAACAATGCTGCAGCTACAAGGAGAGGGTGGCACGAAACACTGGCTGGATTTACAGAGGGGAAAGAGTCTTCTGGTGTCAACTCTTCTCTCTAGGAAAAATACAATAAATTGGTGTCCCACTCTSCAGTGGCTGAGCAGGACCTGCCATGGGCTGGAGCTCAGGGAAGCACCATTCTCMTGTGTGCCTGGATCAGCCTTTTCCCCACGGCAGCCTGGTGACACGAGCAGGGCTTCATCAGTGTCTGAGCTAATAGCTGTCAGACTCCTGGGCAATTTAARAGCTTATTTAAAAACAGAATAAATTAAACAGATTACTAGAATGAGTCACGTTACATCAGCACCAGCAATCCTGATTGCAGAGAGTAGCTACTGTCTTGTACTACCTGGTGCAGGAAAACACGTGGATTTCTAAATCTGTCCTTGCACTCAAACTAAAAACCAACCCAGACCTGCAAAGGAGCTACTCCACACACACACATATGCACAAAAGAAAAAAAAAATCACACAGTAGATGAAATATCTTGTAATTTCACAAAAGCAGGGCTCTTGCTGAGAGAGCTCTCATGAATTTGTGGGGTCAGCAGAGTGCTTTAATGCATAGCTATTAGAGGCCTGTGTTTTTTTTCATAGAGGCCTGTGGTTTTTTTCACCACCATTTGTCAGAAATAATGTAGTGTGAATGCAGCCTCATCCACATGTGGCCCCTTACATAAAGAAAAACACAGACACTCAGATAATCCAATTGTCTCCATACAGATTTAACACAAAGAAAAAGAAAAACATTTGGTGATGACAGAACTTCCTCTAGGCTAGTGATAACTGATGAGAAGACACTGAGATTTCCTAAAGGTCCTGGAGAGTGGCTCAATACAAATCTGAACAGTCAGTGACATTTATGGAAAGCAATTAATAAAGTCCTGCTAAATCTAAACAGTGTCATTCAGCATTTGCACAGCTGCAACTGTGCCAGCTCCAAGGGTCAGTGTCTCCCCTGAGAACGAGTTGGCAATTTGGGAACCAGAGCCACACTGCCCAGGCACAGTGGACCTGCYAGAGAGGAGAGGTGTAGCTGTCTTCAGGACTTCCCTCTTTTTGACATGAGATTCCCTCTCTCCAAAGTTTGTGCTCTTTAAGGTCTCCTTCTCTATCCCTGGGCTTGTTTTTCAACTTGTCTGGCAGCACTTCTGTCCCTTGATGGTAATATGTACCTTGATGGTAATATTTACCAATTGTAAAATATGTAATTTTTGTAAAAAAAAAAAAGGAGTTAAAGGCAAGCTGTAGTTTCTGTCTTTCTCATTTCACTTCATACGTAGGGCATTGATAGGTAGTCACACAGTTGAGAAATGTATTTCTTATTCAAGAACACCAACCTCAAACACAACAGTCTGAAAAATATTTCCTCTTGGTCACAAGCCTGTGAAAGGAGGATGTTAAAACAATAATTTTCCTTCAGAAATTTTAGCTCTTTAATGGCTGTGGGGAAAAAAAAATCATCCCACCTTCCTGTACTTGTCAGCACTCATAAGAACTGCAATCTTCCAAYAAGAAAGCTCTAACAGAGTTCAGGAAAGTTCTGATTTGGGATTTTTTTCATTCTCTCTCACCATTAGTGCTACATTTGACTCATTGCAAGCGAGATCCCTTATTCTACAGTTGTGCCCAAAGTGAAGGCACAGCAGGATACACACATTCCAGGCAGTAGCGTAGGGAGTTGTTTCACATTTGTTGATGGGACAATGTTTATATTGTCTCAATCAGAATGTGAGAAAGAATTTCTTTTGTGCTTGGCTCAGATTTAGAATCCTGCACCTAGGGAAAATGAAGTCTGTATGACTGTAAAGCAGCCTTAAAGTACAAATACAGATGATTCAAAGTTCCCTTGGCATCTSACTCCCTTTCCTGGGAGTTAACAAATAGGTTATCCATACTGCCATGTAAAATTTTCCATACCCAGTCAGACTATCAGATAAGAGGAGCAAAAAGTGGGTGCTGAGTGCTTTCTTTCCTATTTACACTGTCTGCACAGTATAAATTAACACCTCCTGTGCCAGTGCACAGCCTCTAGCCCTGCTCTGTGATTTCCCACTGTGCTTTTGTGTATTCTCCCTAGCACAGCTGGATCAGCCTGTACTCTCCCAGGTAATGCTCAGCAGCAATCTGGGGTCTGGAAACCCTGTCTGGGAGATGTTTAGCTGTGTGGATAGAACGCACCATGCCAGCTCATCTCAGGTCCAGAGAGCAGCCTGAACCAGCTTAGAATAGACACAATTCATTTCCCAGTAGGATGAGTTGTCTCTCAGGCAAAGTCAGCTCTCTCCTGATGGGCAGTCCTGCTTGCTTATCTAAAGATCACATCAGTCAGCTTATCTGTATGGTGGCCACATCCAATGRTTTATCTTCTGTGACCCTTTAAAAYATCCTTCTGKGTGCCTTCATTCCTGCATGCTGTCCCTTCTCATCAGTGACCTGCATCCAGCAGGATCACCATTAAAATTTATACCATTCTCACTTAAGCAGCAACAATATGTAACATTCCTCCAGGTCTCCAAGTAAAGCTGATGACAGATTTCTGCAGGATCCCACTAAAACCTGCCATTTTAATGGACTATTTCTATATGCAKGGTTTTTTTGTAACCTTCAAAGCAYAACTTCAAAGCATAACTGAGGCCACTTATGTTAATTTTAGTAAYGAAAAATTCTCTTTCAAAAAAGTTGGTTGTGACTGGATTAGTGCCATACATCTCAGCATGAACAGGCCTTTGTTATTTGATTTCTTCACTGAGAGTGTTTTATATTAGTCTATCTATGATCTTACTCAAAGCTGTCATTAAAATAAGGTGGGTTTAGAATTGTGAGTTTGCTTGCTAGCAGAACATCTTGCTTTACTGTATCATTTTAGAACTTCTCCAACTTCCCTGCAGTTGCTAAAAATCACCATTAATGTGCTGCAGAATTAGCTGAAATAATCCCTGAGTGCTTAGACACAGTTTACACACTTCTGCAGAACTTCAGATGTTTGATTGTTGCAGCAATTTGATCCAGTCCCCCCACTTACCAATGGATCTTTGCAGTGGTTTTCTATAACAAAACCAAAATATATTTCAAATACCTGCCCCCCCTTGTGGTACTGTGCATTCCCATATCCACTGCATTGCATTCCTGTGTGCACTGGCATTGGAAGTCAAGGTTTTACCTGATTTTATGTTTCACTGATAAATGGTATTTCTATACAGAGCTGAGGATAGATATTCCCTATTCTAATGCATATCCTGATGAATGGGTGATGTGTGTGGAATCTTCTTTCCTTTCCACCTCCTTCCATGCTTGTCTGTGATTCTAGACCCACTGATAAAAAACATTCCCTCTCCAAAATACTTGACCATATACATACTTTTACATGTATATGTATATGTATATGTATATGTATATGTATATGTATATGTTTATGTATATGTATGTGTGTGTAAATATATATATATATATATATATATATAGTGTGTGGACAACTTGAAACAAATTTATAGAGTCATATAATGGTTTGGCCTGGAAGGGATCTTTAAAGATCAGCCACTCCAATCCCCCTGCAATGAGCAGAGACAACTTCAGGTTGTCCAAATCCCCATCCAGTTTGGCCTTGAATGTTTCCTGGGATGGGGCATCTGGGCCACCTGTGGCGTTGTTTCACCACCTTCATCATAAAAAATTCCTTCCTTACAGATGGGATCTGTAAATCTACCTTCTTTGATCTTAGAATCTTAGACAGCATCCTCTCACTCCATGCCCTTGTAGAAAGTCCCTCCTTAACTTTCTTGTAAGCCCCCTTTCGGTACTGGAATGCAGCTTTAAGGTGTCCCTAGAGCCTTCTCTTCTCCAGGCTGAAAACCCCCTGCTCCCTCAGCCTCTTTTCTTAGGACACATCCCCCAGCCTTCTGATCATCTTTGTGGCMCTCTTCTGGACTCACTCCAGCAGTCCATGTTCTTATAARAAGCCCTGGATGCAGCTCTGCAGGTGGGGTCTCACAAAGGAGGAGCAGAGGGGCAGCATTCCCTCTCTCCCCCTGTGGCCACGCTGCTTTGGATGCAGCCCAGGGCATGGTTGACTTTCTGGTTTGCAAGTGCACATTGCCTGGTCATGTCCAGCTTTTCATCCACCTTCACCCCCAATTTCTTCTTGGCTGGGCTGCTCTCAATCCCTTTGTCTCCCAGCTTGTATTGATACCAAGGGTTCCCCCAAAAGCATAGGCAAAATGTGGCAGGAGTGGGAAAAGGGGAAATCACTGATATTTTGAAGAAAAACCCTAAAAAGTRTGAGGCAGGGCACAAGGTTTACTTTCACTTAAGGACAAAATAGCAGGTTTGTTTGGATTCTGCTGCTTGTTTTGTTTTGTTTCATGTTTCCCCCTAGGAGTTTTGTCTGCACTCTTAGTTGTGTGCAAGTCTCTAGGCTACAGTTCTCTGCCCCAATTCCAGGAACTAAGTTTTCAAGTGAAAGTAAACTTTTAAGTACAGTTAAAGCAAATTTTGCCACCCACTGCAGCCACCATTGGCATAGCTAAATAAACATGCTTTGTCCATGGTATGGCTAACACTGAAATGGATGAAAAAAACAATCCTATTCACTTGATTATGCAACTGGATTCTCTTGGAATAGCTTCAAAAAGCTCTTTAATGAGAAGTCTATAACAGTTGAACAAAGTAAGCATTTCCACTGGTGGGAAAATAAGCACAGGCAATTCTGCATTTGACCCCTCGACAAGGGACAGAATGACAATCCACAGCATCAGGCTCATAAGGATTCAGCACAGGGAAACAGCGAGCCAAGCCACCTCTGCAGTCCTTGGGAACAAGGCATGACTGCATTGATAGCACCAGAAAGAGCCGAGCACAGTAGCAAAATAACAATGAAAGGATTTTGTTCAGTCCCAGGAATGCATTGCCAGCACTGGGATGATCACCACTGAGGACTAGCATTGCACGGAACTTTTAAAGGGAGTTTGAGGGGGAGAAACAATGAGGAAGAGTTTCCTGGGTAGGCAGATATCAGCTATTTGTACTGCACCTCTGTACAAACAAGCCAAAGTTTGTAGTGAAGAAACTAAAGAGAACTAAAGAGAACTAAAGAGAATTAAACACTAGATTTCTTTCTGTTTGGATTTGGTCCCCAAATCAGTGGATGCCTTGATACCTGTCTCTGCTACCTAACACAAAGCAAAAGAGCAATTAAATGTCCTTTGAATCACAAAGACTGTCCCAAGGCTGGCTTTCAAACATACACCTCTTATAAAGGCCTGTCTATACACTGTCACGATATCAGATAACAGGCAAACATAARCTTAAAACTCTATTATACTGATACAATGCTTTCTATGGGCATCTTTGTTCTGAAATCCAAAACGCAGTCCTCAGTTCAGCTCAGTCACTTTGACATCTCTCTTCTCTTTAGATAAAGAGCCTCTGGGTTTCGAGGGTGAATGTCTCCAAATGCAAAGTCATCCTGATGATAAAATGACTGAAAACACACATTTTACGCCAGCAAACCTCAACTGGATTTTGATTTTGTGAAAGGTGTTGGAATATCCACAGCACAGGGGGAGCAAAGCCCTTTCCTCATGGCACCAGTCTCTCCAAGGAAAGGGTTTATATGGGATCCTGTGACCATGATTTGGTATCCATTTAAGAAAAAAAAATACCAATTATCGTTATGTCAATCCACTTGGAAAAATGGATACAGRATGTTGGTTCCTGAATACTGAATTTTGGTATGGGTGGTAGGCAGGACAGCTTTTAGAGTGCCAATTCCACAGTTCCTTAGCACTGACTGACAGAACTGAAAACCATCTCTCACCTGGAAAGCACAGGCCCAAACTTTAAAGAGGAAGTACTTTAAAAAGGAAAAAGCCATCCATCCCAACTCCCCTACAACCATGCACCTGTGTTTGCTCTAGATGGAGTTGTAAAAATGCCATCCTCAGTACCGACATCCTGGTGCTGAGTGATGCGTGACTTGAAGCCCGGTGTCTGACCTGTGCGTGTCTGCACAGCTGGCCAGGGCTCTGCAGGCAGCAGATCGCTTTGTAGGGCTGGGGATCACAAGCCGTATGCCCTCTTTAAGGTTTTCCCTTTTCCTGGAATCAGCAGTCTAACAATTAACCTGAATGTGCCTGGGAGTTTCAGAAGGTTGTGGCATGCTGAGAAAGCACACTTAGTTTCCTCTGTCATGTCTAACCTGTCAGAAAAATCCCCCGAGGRGAAAATGACATCACGGTGGCACAGTTCAACATCAGCCAGCGCGGTGCTCTTGGCATTAACCCTCCGGGTCACAGCAGCCTGGGAGCACATCAGCCATGTGCCGTGTCCCCTTTGCCCCTGGCTAACGCTCCTGTCCTGTCTGTCCCCAGCATACAGCGCCGGCTGTCCTTGCAGCTGCCCATCCTTCACCACGCCTACCTGCCGTCCATAGGAGGAGTGGATGCCAGCTGTGCCAGCCCGTGTGTCAGCCCCAGTGCCAGCCCTCGGCACCGACATGTGCCACCCTCCTTCCGAGTGATGGTGTCGGGGCTGTAGGAGAGGGAGATCAGTGCTTCCTGAACTGCTTTTAATGACTGGACTGAACATCTGACCTAGAACTCTGCTACAAACGTGAAACGTTGGCTCTTGGCGCAGAGGAGCTACCGCTGAGGCCCTCGTCACAGGAGTGCCCACGTCACTCGTGTGGAAAAGCGAAGGAGGACACAAGGAGTTTGATCTGTAGCCTTATTCATGGAGTTTTTATTTCTTCACCTAGAAGTCRCTGAAAAATGTTTCTTCCAGAATTTCTACTAGCAACAAGGAGGCTGGGATTTACGGATCTTGCAAAAAAGACACTAGGAAAAAAAAAACAAACCAACACTCAAATGTCACTGGGCTTTATGTGGCTGCTGAGAACATGCAATTCTATACTGTATCCATGTGAGGAAAATGCAGTGGTTGAGCTATACCATGTTGAAATAGATACACTCATTTTTACAAGAGTTGTGTTAAATCGCTGGAAACATTCTGCACTGGTTAGTCTTGCTTCTTTTCATTTCAGGGATGATGTTTAGTAGGAAAGAAGAATTGTGAGAAATGATTCCTCGGGTGTCATTGAGACTCTGCAGTGCTGTGGGCAGGGTCACCTTTACCTTGCAGCTGCGTGTGCAGCCCAAGCGGAGCCCGAAGCTCCAGCTCTGAGTTGCCACCRGCTGGAGAGCTGCTGATTGCACATGGAGCACTTCACCCTTCTCCAGGGGCAGTGATAGTGACTGCTCACCATCTGCAGCTTCATTTTTAGCAAAGTTTCTGCACCTATCTCAGAATAAACACCACCAACCATAACACACTAAACGGTCTGAAAAAGTCCTAGGGCTAATAACTCAGGAAACTGAGGACAGATGGGTAGTRAAGTCTTAATGTCACAGGATGAATTGTTTTTCCTAGTTTGTTTGAATTGTGTCACACATAATTACAATAAAATTAATTTAGTGGACTTGGGGGGAGGGATTAGGGCACAGCACTTYGCTGCTGCGGGCAAAGCCTGCAGGGCAGGTAGATGTGAATACACACAAATGTTTGCTTCGTACCTGTGTACGTGTGACAGTTGTAGCGGATAATAGAGAGGACAAATCAAATTTACCAATAGAATATTTTTCCTGAATCTTGAAAGGACTATGAAAAAAAAAATTATGGATTTTATACTTTAGCTCCTTTCCCTGAACCAAAGTAATTAGGAGGAACAATCGTGGTGTACCGTCTGGACCAACTCTGGAGCCAAACCCTCAGRCACAGGTGAGACACACATGCAGCTCCTTTTTCCAAGGGATTGGAAATGTGTCCTCTCACTGCCGGGGCTGTTTGCTCAAAGTAGGGGGGAAAAAACACACGAAGCACCCACTGAGCTCCCAGTTCTCTTTGATCAACGTCTGTGCCCCTCAGACTAAACTTTTGGAATAACATTCGTACGAGGGTTTACAAATCAGCAATGACTGAAGCACAGCTGAAGGGTTCATTAGCTGAGGGATTTAACTGCAGCGCTGACAAGCTAGCATAAATCTCCATTAAAAATAAAACACACCTCATAGAGGCCAAAACCAACATGAATATGTATCTGAATCTTACAATCAGGAGCATCACAAAATATTTCACTTGGCACATACAGTAAGAGAGGTTATGGAAATATCTGTAGCTTTTAGAACAAAAAAAAACATGTAAGTATAAACACAGGTAAACTAGAACTCATTACTCTGTTTAAGCACTAAACACTGATGTCGTCACTCAATGTGTGTTGACAGTATTCTCTTGCTTTATTAATATCATCAGGGCCTGGTTTATTTTAAAAGGAATGTTAATTTTTAAAAAGAGAAAATTACGATATTGTATATAATGTATACACAAAGATCTCTGTAGAAATATTATTCCAACTTAGCAGGAAATAAAAAATAATTCAGAAGTATCGGACCATTGGAGGTGAGTGTGTGTGTGTGTGTGTGTGTCTGTAACTTTGTGAATACTGACTGTGTGACGTTTATTAGGTTTAAACCATGCAGTACATTCTTTGTCTCAATGATACTGTAGTTTCTCCCATGACATTTTTTTTTACTTTACTGCAGATAACAAGACCAACCAAGTGAATATAGCTATTTAATGTTTCTGTTCTTTTATACTGCAGCAAAAATGTACTGTAAATTTATGAAGAGGCTGTGCCCCAATGGCATTTTCCAATGATGTTAGTGCACAAATGCTTTAAACTAGACTGGAACTGCCAGAATAAAATGTAAATGAAGAATTTCTTGTATAACCTTATACTGCATGAGATCAATTTTTAATAAATTGTTGCAAATCTGTTTTTATGAATAAAATATATAAAACTTAGCTTTTTGGACTCAATGCTCTCTTCCCCTATAGCAAAATAATTTTTTATGAGTGTGTGTGTGTGTGTATATATATAAACATGGATATATATAAAAGCCTCCTTGGACAAGAGGAATCCTATTACAACACCATATTTTAATAAAAATKCAATATGTAATAAAAATACACATTCTAGTAGTTGAACGGTTTGCATTTGGAGGTAATAGATAGATGAGCCTGTGTCCTGAAATACAATTACTGCAGTACCCATGAGTGAAGTCTAAGACCTTTTTCAAATGGGAAAATAATAAAAACATGTACTGAACATTTATATCCAAACCACAATTAGCCCACACACTATTCTCTCTTGCCCCACAGTGAATGTGAATTGAGAAGAAAAAGCAATATTTTACCATTTCACACTAGTTATTGAAACTGAGCCAATCTTCCAGCTTAATAGTAAAATCTATGCATCAACAAATGAGAAGTTTCTGAGAATAAACACCAATTGCTTCGTGAAGGCAGGCATTAAGCCTTCCTAGTTTCATGCATGTGGTGGGGTTTTGTGTCTTAAAGCAGGTTCTTCTGCACAGCAGAGCAGGAGGAGGGTGGGACTGTAGGGCAATGAGATGGCGAAAGGAAAGAGCATGTTGAGTTGTTTGCTTTTCAACAGGGGAGCTTCCTCAAGCCAGCACAAAATGTCATCAAGCACAAGATGTGGGAATTAGAGCCAGCACAAATGGTTTTCCCGTAGGAAAGCATTTTTGTGATGCAGAAGTCCCATCAAACTGTGCAAAAAAGAGAAAATACCAGCGAGGAGTTAACAATGGGGATCATGGCTCTCAGTGCAGAATACCAGATGGCAGGAGAAACTCAAACAGATACATCAAAGCTCATTCAAGAAAGGAAAAAAGTACAGAACAACTTCAATGTGAAACCTATATTCAACCAGAAGTYGTGGGAGGATGTGAAGAACTTAGAATTGCTCATGAATAATAGGAAACCAGAACAAAGCAAAATATTACTTTAAAGGGTCATGAAAAAAAGTAACAGGGAGATGTCAGGGGAGAAACTTTACTTGAACCACAGCCACAACAAATATGCTTCCTATACAATAATGAAGTGTTGTTGGATCATGGAAGACTGCTAACCTTGCAGCACTACTTTCAAATAATAAAATCAAGGAAGGTAAGAGAATTTTTCTTTTTTTCTTTATTTTTGAGATACAATACCTTTCCTTAAAGACTGATAATCAAATYTYCTCTGATCTTTTCAAAACTTGTTTWTTCATTACAAGTYTCAGCACAATGTGCTTGCTTTCCCCAAGACCAGATTAGCGTTTCTGCTGATCTCTGGTTAGGATTGCTGTAGCTGCTGGAAGCCAGCCCAGCAAGGCTTGTCCCAGCACTTCTACAGCACCCTATGGGTATCAGCAGGGCTTTATTGTGCTCTCAAACCACAGTCCAAAGGATGGGCTGGTCTGACTGTTCTGCAAGCTGACTCTGCCTGTCACTGGCTTGTTTAACAGGGATTTTTCTGCTCACTCTCTGAGGAGACTGACAGATATATTACAAAGGTTTAAGCATCATGATTTTTATCAGAGTTCAGTTCTCAGTTACTGACTGCCTTTTCCATCTCTTGACATGGTGCATGTACTTGCAGCCATTACTTCATTACGTGTGAATATTATTCATGAGTGCACTTTCGAGAGCACTTTGCCTCTTGAGTCGATCAGGATTCCAAGAGTGTTACTGTGCTTGTCACTCCTCACTCAGTGACATCGCAGAGGATCAACAGAGGGTCCAGAGATGCATTGGAAAAGATGGGAACAGGAGAGCCCAACCTGGGTGGCAGTGCCACCACGTCAGCGTTGCCAGACAAGTGGCAGACTTGAGCCACCAGCTTTGTGAACTGCAACTGCTTTAAAACGCCTCCCTTGATGATGAAGTGCTAAAGTAGGTCAAGTGAAGGGAAAGAGGGARGGACATGCAGGAGGAGAAAGGAGGAAGAAGCATCTCCAAGGACTGAGAAAGTTCTTCATTGCCCCAAAGAAAGTGGCTGCCACTGATGCCCATCAAAGCTAAAGCACCACACAAGGATTTAAACAWATTACTGAACTTTAGAGGCTAAATTCTAGGTCAAATAGATCTAAGGACAGGAGCTGTAGGTACCAGAAGCAAGCAGCCTCTGGGCTGGCTCAGTAGCAGAAAGGAGYATAGCAAAAAGAGCTTGCATGACCTTGGGCTTCAGCAGAAAGGACAGACACCTTCATGAGTCGACAAACACAGGCTCTGACCAGAACTGATCCTGTGCCCACATRCAATGGGTGCAGCACAAGCTAAGAAAAGTGTCATTACATTTACAACCCACAGCTACAACCTCCTCAGGGACCACATCACCCACCTACCCACCTCATCCACCATCATCCACCTCCCACTGCCCTCAGCCATGTGGGATGCCTGCTTGAGCAGGGGAGCTGCCACTGGTAGCAAATCACCCCRCAGATGTGAAGCTGTCCATTCTGGCAAGTCAAATTGGCTGGAAAATAGGGGCAGGTGTGGAGCAGGGAGTGTGTTTGTGTGTGTGTCTGGCAGGAYACAGAAAAAGTAGAAGCAGCTCAAYATCAATGGCCTGGAAAACACCATGWGGGTCAAGGAGAGACACCCACCCTACTTCCTGCTTTGGGAATTTGTCAAGCATTGAAAAGCAAAAGCCATTCCMAGCACATAAATACACAGGCCATCCCTAGATCAGAATTAATTCTCCTCAGCCYTGGCCCACTCTGCCACAAAATCCTGAGCCTTTCCAGATGAACATTCCTTGTTTGAAAGGAAAATGGAGCATGATGCAGAAATGAAAAACTGGGAAAGAGCAGGCAAGAAAACATGCACATGAGTTAGTCTTCATAAAGTGCTTTGCTGTACTGTCACCCAAGTGATTCCTACTCTGCCCTGTCTAAGGAAACTCCAGCACCCCAAACACCAGGTACCCCTCCCAGCAGACAGAGGGATGGATACACCTCTTCTACAGGAGGGAGGGACCTCACATCCTTACCAAACAAGCTGGCTGCAATGAAACCTGCCCACATGATGAAGCAGGCTATCTAACTGGTGATACAAATCAGTACGAGCTTTGTAAGAGCACAGGGCTCTCCAGAGCACAAACATCCCTCTTTGGGACATGGTGAGTTCCTTTTGCTTTGGACACATCATATACCACACATCACATGGACAGCCCTTACTACTCAGAGAACAAATCTGTTCCTCCAGCCTGAGAAACTCTTCACTTTTTCCTCTACTAGGCCTGTGTCTGAAGCACAAGGACACAGAGAAAACAGCAGAGGTGAAAATCATGTCTTGAGCAGCTCAGGAGGTAAAGGCAGTATCTCCTAAAAAGGTGCTGGACCCCCTGCCTGAGTGAGAGGATCATCTGCAGATGGAGGTGCCACTAAAAGATCTCCTGAGAGCAAATGGCTGAGCATGGATCAGTTTCTCCTCAAGAAAGGTAAAAGGAAGAAATGTGTTAGTTCCTCATCCTAAAGGCAGTGAAATTTCCAAATACATTGACTCTTCTCATGATGAGTGGTGGGGAGAAGGGCACTAAAAACTAGGGGAGCAAGGACAGTAACTTCACACTGGGGTCACAGAGGGAGGGTGATGAGACAGAGGATAATCTTCAAATGAAAAATTCCACAAGCCCCACAACTCATCCYGACTCAACACTGGAAAGAAATCCTCTTCAGTTTTCCTTGGCTCATACTTATGTCACTTGGAGACACTACTGGACAAAAATAACAGTGTTAACAGGAGAAAAGGGTAAAAATATCAAAACAACCAGCATACATGTACAAAAAGATGGCCTGAGAGTCATAAAGATGAAAGTGAGCAAGRGACTCAGCTGCAATCACTTCTGAGGAAGACACATCAATGTCAGCATCAGATATCAGCACCCCTAGCAAAAGATAGCAGCCACTGTCATTCCAGAAAGCTGGCTGTACAAATAAAGCAGTTAAAATTGTCAGAAATGAAGCCAACACCGTCACTAGCTGCCTCAGTGTTGCTAGTAACTAAAATGGGAACAACTTTCCTCCAAATTYTGACTTCAGATTCTAATAGGCTCAAAGTTTGAAATTCAATTCAGCACCTCAACATCCTAGGCTATTTCCAGGCTTACATTATCACTGAAAGACTGCAGGAGTGTGAAGCTTATAAATTAYCAGTCCTTATGAAAATTTTAGAGACACTGGTTCTTACAGACAAAGAAATAGGTCTTTTTAACCAGACTGCCCCAGTCAGGGTGTAGGAAGGGGGCATATTTCATTATTCTTCCTATGTACCCATAATTTATTGTTTTCAGAGGCCTCCACAGAATTTTACTTTGAGATTAAAAACTCTCCAAGCTGAAAGTACAGCCAAACGTCTGTCCTACTGCTCTGTGATAAAGAATATCACACTCTAATAGGTGTCCCCATTSTTTGAGAACCTTCCAGTCTTTTCTCTCCCAAAATATTTTGTATTTTCTGCTTTGTTTTAGTTTTAAAATCCAAGGATCTATTTACCTAAGAATTAACTGACATTTGAACTTAACTAAGCAATTTATGATGAGAGTGAAGCTCAGCAAAGTGGAAAAAACGCATGAGTTGTTCCAGCATAATCCMTGCAAACAAATAAGAACAGTACTTGCTGCAGCTCAAAACTTTCAGACATATCTCACTGAGACAAATGAAAATAATTTCAAAACAAAATCAAGTGAACACATCCCAAATTTAATGGACCATTGGTTTAGAGGACAACTTTCAGTTATCTTTGAGCAGCTGATTTGGGTTGCCATAACCTGGGATCCAACCTGCCTGCTCCACCCACTGGGGCCCGTTTGCTTGCCACTAATTAAAGCTGTTTTCATCTCCACAAAAGCCGGCTTGTAACTTTTTGAAGGTGAAAGAATTAACTCTGAAATTCAGGCTTGCACATGTGAWTTCTCCACAGACCTTTTATTGCCTTGTGTTAACCTGTCCTTCCCTCCATCCCATTTTGCTCTATATGATGCTRTCATTTGAGATAAAACTGCTCCCATTAGGGACAAGAAAAAATTGTAATGGGGATGGAAAGACATATAAAGGCAATAATCTAACTGGTCTGTAGCACAGCAGTTCAGTGGTAG